TGGAGAGGCAAGAGTAAGCCTAACACCCGGCAAGATTTAGGGCCCTCAATCCCCACGTACGAACAGGAAAAACGGGCCGGGCGAACAGAACGTGGGGTGGGGGGTGGGGGTGATTTGAGAAGGCAGGCTGTAGGTGCACATCTGCGGTCGAAAATACTTCGTAGCTCAACCGCTTCACGAAGGGATCAAAAATAATCTGCGAGTAATCCTCTTGTTTCAACAAGTGTTACTTAAGGTTAAAGATGCAAAAACAATCTCAACCCAAGATACTTTCCGTTATTGAATTACTTTCTGGAGGACTCAACATCAATAGCAGTTTGATCTTCTCAACACTGGCTTCCTATATTTATCGTTGATTCATTTTTGAACACCCAATTCGTAATCCCATTTGTGATACGTTGAAGACGATGATATTTTAGAAATCTCTCAAAATGATAACACATGACAATGACTGATTAGTGATTCCAGGCGCCGTCAAACAGCCCAAAATATATTAGTTCGAAAGTATAGTGTACGTTTTTCCTCTGGCGGAGCTGGCAGTTATCTCCCCCGCGCGCGATGGCAAGATCCCCCGGCGCAGACATTCGTTCGACTGTATGGGATTTCCCCTAACCAGTATCTCCAATCAGAGTCGCAACCCCGGAACACAAGCTCTAAGTTCCCGCTCTGGTCGGTAAAAATAACAGTACTATTTATGATATTGTGCGCAAACATTAGATGCAAAATCAAAACCTTCTTAATTGAAAGTAGTGTAATTCCAAAAGTTTTACTTTCATGGTACCAGTAGCGCCTCTGGACGCCACTCGCCCCACAGTGCGGCAGGCGGCCGGCTGCGCGGGGCGACGGCGGCGCGAGTCGGGGCGTGGGCGGTAAGGCGCGGCCTAAGGGCACGGGCGCGGTGACCAGGCGTTCGGCTGGCGTTGGGCGGCGAGGCGAAGGGAAAAGCCCCCCTGGTGAAGCGCAAGAGCCGCAGGGTAATTGGGCCAGTGGCGTGGCAGAGGCAAGGTGAGGACGCGGAGCGCGGTGGACGCCGGGCCCAGTGACGATGCCGCCGCGCCGCGCGGCGACGAAGGCGACGGGTCACTAAAGGCGCCGCCCGCGGGCGCTGGCAAAACGCAGGCGGGCTGTCAGACGAAGCATTGATATGGGCAGCGTGGTGGGAGAGGGGGTTGAAGCAGAGAGATGTGCGCTTCGCCGAGAAGGCGGGTGACGGCAGCTGGTGTTGCACAGGTGCACGAGAATGTGAGTGGCACGATTGGAGCAGATGAACCGGTAAGGAATTAGGGCGGTTTTCTGAGACATTACAATTTGGGTGTCAGCGGTTGTGAATCATGCGTTACTAATCGGCGGTTAAGAAACGAGATATTAAGTGAGCGCGGTTTGACGTGGGAGTATGCGAGTTGAAGGTCACGAACAAATGGTTGGGCGCACGGCGGGTGGGGGGGGGGGGAGCAGGTTTTGAGAACGGTGGTTGTGAGCGGGGTGGCTTGTGAGCGGGTGGTGTGAGCAGGGGTGGTTGTTGAGCGGTGGTTGTGAGCGGCGTGGGTGTGAGGCGGGTGGTTTTGTGAGCGGGTGGTTCTCAGGCGGGTGGTTGTGACGGGTGGTGGCGTTGTTGAGCGGGGGGTTTAGTGTGAGCGCGGGTTTAGTTGTGGAGCCGGGGCTTTAGTTGTGAGCTGGCGTGCGTGAGAGCGGGCATTAGTTGTCAACGGGTAGTTGCTGTGAGCGGGTGGTTGTGCGCGGGTGGTTGTGAGCGGGTGGTTGTGAGCGAGTGGTTGTGAGCGGGTGGTTGGTTGTGAGCGGGTGGTTGGTTGTGAGCGGGGGTTTAGTTGTGAGCTGGTGGTTGAGAGCGGGGATTAGTTGTGAACGGGTGGTTGCGAACGGGTGGTTATGGGCGTGGGTGGTGAGAGAACGGTTGCACGTAGGGGCTGACAAGCGACAGTGCGAGTGGACGGTAGTCGAGTACGTAATTGACATTTGGACAGTCGCCTGTACGATTTTTCACTAGATTTTTGGTGATGCGGAGGGTCTAGGGATATGTCAGATCGGAAATCGGAAGTTTTGCGGCAGGCTAATATGAGGAAACGGCAGACCAAGCGATTTGGTGACGGACTGACAATTCACGAAGACATGATGTAGATGGCTGGGACGAGAAGCATCGGACAGGCGGGAGTTTTATTGACAGAGGTAGCATTAATATGAAGAGAACCGTTGAGAGTAAAAATGAGTAAAATACAAGAGGATGACGCGTATCTACGTCACTTAATTGTTTATTCTAAAAACGGGCAGCTATGAATATCTTTGTTTCGTAGAGTAATAAAGTCAGGAAAAGGAACTGCCAAAGACAATGTCAGTATATTTGGTCCATCGGAAGAGGAGATGAGATTGAGAAAGTCGGTTATCACTACATGGAAACACTAAGGGAAAATGAGAGTGTAAAACAAAATTAACACATTAATTCTTTACGTTAGTTGGAAAGTAATTATACTTTTCTTGTCAAGATATGAAAGACACAAAATATCAAACTATACTTTTTCTTTCGAATGGCAATTACTGTCTCAAATACGTACTCTGCTCCATGTACATGAACTATTCGGGTCAAATTATTTTGAAATAAATTAGAACATCACCCAATTTACAGTGTCAATCTCGCAATATTTTACATCCAAAATTACTAATTATAACGCTTCATCGGCCGTTGGGTATCCAGAGTAATGAAAGCAGGCGAGGCTCACAGCACAAACATCGGGGAACGTAAAAACTTCGTCCAGTCCCTCGGGGACAAGTTCGCTTCCTAAGCCCTCAAGCGCCGTCCAGAGCTGTTCCCTCTTTAAGGGACTGTCGCAGTGAATTTACAAAGGCGAAAAAAGTTGTGTAAAGGGATTCAACGGCGTTAGAGTAATGCGAATTAATGAATAATAAATAAGCGTAGCGAGCTGAGAGAGCAATAGAATACTATAACGCGCGCTCGCGCGCAAGTTCGTAAAAAGTTTCATAAAAATCAAGTAAATATACGACAAACTTCCTTTCGCCGCAAAGAAAAACCGTCGCAAAAAGAATCTTTCACATTATCAAGTTGTTACAGGAACGCCAAAACTGCATTTTTATTGCATAATTGTGAGAATATTCAATGGAGAATCCTCATAAATTAGAAGCTTACAGAAATGTGACGTTCTAAGAGCAAATCTGTCCTACGAGGGAATGAAAGCAGTCTAGTTATGTTCTCAAGGAATTTTGGTGCAAGAGTGCGACCCTCCTGCCATATTCGCTCAACCTCTTTCCATTGCAACAAGGCGTGATTGGACTGTCCATTTTAAAAACGTGCGATGCTGCATTTATTCCATTAAAACAGAAACAGAATTTCTTTACAAGTTTTACGATTCTCCACTACGTACAATGCAATATCAAACCCGTGACACTTCGATATCGTCTTACCATGTAGAAGA